GGGGCCGGGCGGGACGGGGCGGGACGGGGCTGCGGGCAGCTCCGCTGGGAGCTTCCCCGCCTGCCTCGGCGCAGGCCCAGCCCGGCACACGCCGCCCCTCACCACGCACGGGTCTCCTCCACACACGCCTCGGCACACACTCGTGACACACACCTCACACCTCTTACACACACCCCTCTGGCTCACGCACACGTACTCGGATCATACCCCCTCTGGCACTCGGAAGGCTTCCAGACACTGCCTCTTGCATGCATTACAGCCCTTACACACACACACACACCCCTCATGCACACTCAGATCATACATCCTCTCTCACACACATGCAGATCTTGCCCATACACCGTCTCTTACACACATCACAGCCCTTACACACACACACACACTCAGATCATACACCCTCTCTCACCCTCCCTCACACACACACAATTATATACAGTTTCTTACACATGTCACACCCCTCCCCCCACACACAGGTCTCTTACACATGCACTTATACATCACACCCCTTATACACACACATCTGACACACACCCTCGCATTATACACCCTTTCTCTCACACACACACATACACACACAGATCTCTTACACACATCAGACCCCTTACACACACCTCCCACACACACTCAGGTCACACACACAGTCTCTTACATACACACTCTTACACATCAGGCCCCTTACACACACAGCCCTCTCTCTCTCTCACACACACACACATACACCTCTTCCAGAGGATACTGTCACATAGAAACAGATCTCTTCCAGGCCAGACACCTTCTCCCACCCTCTCTCTCATACACACACGCAGATCTCTTCCACACACCTTCTCACACACACACAGATCTCTTCTACACACCCTCTCTCTCTTGCACACACACACAGATCTCTTCCACACACCTTCTCACACACACACAGATCTCTTCTACACACCCTCTCTCTCATACACACACAGATCTCTTCCACACACCTTCTCACACACACACAAATCTCTTCTACACACCCTCTCTCTCTCGCACACACACGCAGATCTCTTCCACACACCTTCTCACACACACACAGATCTCTTCTACACACCCTCTCTCTCATACACACACAGATCTCTTCCATAACACCTTCGCACATACACAGATCTTTTCTGTACACCCCCTCCCTCTCTCTCACACATACACACATGGGCTCTTGCACTCTTTGTAGCAACATAGATGCACTTTCACATACACAGAGAGATCTCTTCTACACACCCTCTCTCCCTCTTTCTCTCTCATACACACACACACACACACACACACCTCTTCCTCTTCCATACACCCCGTCCCTCCCCGCGCCGTGCGTGGGGCAGCCCGGGCCGCTCCTGGAGCCGCGCCGCCCCGTCGGGCCGGGTGCCCGGTGCTCGGGCGCTGTGCGGGGCCGAGCCCTACCTGTGCTGGAGCGAGCCTTGGGCCGGGCCTTGCAGCCGAAGCCGGTGGGCGACCCCCCGAGCAGGCTGCTGGGCGGGAAGAGTCCGGAGCCGTACTCGGGCACGTAGGGCGGGTAGGACGAGATGGGGTGGTGCGCGGCCGGGGCGCCCCCCAGCGAGGCCATGCTGCCCCGCGAGTGCGACGACTCCAGCTTCATGCCGTCGGGCAGCGCCACCTGGTACTTGACGCAGTCCTTCTCGTCCTGCCGCGCCGAGCCCGTGG